CACCCCCGCCTCGCAGAATCCCCCTGCCTCCCCCGCAGGTTACCATGCTGGCGGGCCGGCCGGCCGCGGTCGAGGGGCTGTCCGCGCCCCCTCTGCACCGTCCCCCGAGGAGGTGTGCTGGGTGTCTGGGTGTCTACTTCTGCCTGTCTACTGCAGGGGGGTTTAGCAGAGTTCTCGGTCGGAGAAGCGCACCAGGCAGCGGGAGTAACTGCGGGCCCGGCGTACGGCAGCCATCTTCGCGGGATGGGGGGCCAGATCGGGGCGCGCTGGAGCCGCGGCCGGGGACACGAGGAGCCGAGAAACACCCGTTGCCAGCGGAGGCCTAAGACTGTGCGAGAACCAGAGCGTCGGCCCTACCTCCTGGAGACCCTACACGCCGCCGCAGAACTGACCCCTCCGCGGCAGAAACCTGCGCCGCCGCACCGAGCATGCGCAGTGCCCGCCGCCTGCGTGCGCCGCTCGGCTCGGAGGCTCGGCGCGCACCGCCTACCCGAGCACTAGGGGGCGTGGGCCTACTGGGTGCCCGAGGCCAGACCGGGTGTGAGGTCACCAATTTGCCGAACCCACCCCCAACTCACCCCAGTTATTCGGCTCAGTGAACACTTATGCAGACTTGAAAAACCATAATCTCAAAAATGCAACTCAAATTCAGGTTGAGACTCTATGGCAAGCAGCCCTAAGGAGCACCGAACTGGGCGCTCAGGGCTGTCCCGCGGCGACTCTGGGGGGAGTGCCCCTCCAGGAATGCAGGGAAACTGAGAAACTCCACTACATCGCAGGCTGTTGTAACGACTGAACTTTTTAAGAGCACAGGTCTGGAGGTTGAGGAAAAGATGCGTTTAGGAGAGCGGCAGGGGTAAACTCAATCACCGCAAGGAAGTTCTCACTACAGATCCCACCATGCAACGGGGGAAGGACGTGCTCGCTCCAAGGCCTTGAAACCCGAGTCCTGCCCAGACGGCGTTCCCGAGACTCTCTGGGATTTGTAGTCCGCTGCTCAGCGCAGAGCGTCTGAATCTGCACAAGGTACTCGCCCCGCCTCTTAAAGAACAAACGCCTCATTTTCACTCCCACAGGCACTTATTTATCAGGCGACATGTAATTGTCACACACTTTACATTGCTTTAAATAAGGAATTTTGCATGCTCTATGAAAACCTACAGTCATATAGCCTCTTATCCTCTTCATTCAGCAAACATTTAAGAAGTTTCTGCTTTCTATCAGGTACCGGCTACTAATAGTTATCAAGATTCCAAGACCCTACTTTCAACGAGTTCACAGAGTTTAAATCTCTTATCCATTATGTTATTCTGGAGATATTAGAATCTTGGGCAGAAATACAGAGGCAAAAAAAAAAGGGGGGGGAGGGGGAGAGGGGGAAGGAAAATGGTGAGCTACAATATGGAAGCCCAACTGCTGTCTTAATATTGGGGTCCTCCCTTCCGATGGGTGTTTCTAGTTGCACCCTAAATCAGTTACCTATAAAAAGTGCCTTCATGTTTAATGGAGGACCGAAGTTTAATAGTTTTTAGTTTTTAAAAGAGACTCTAGGGCTTAGGCCTTTTAAGGATGATTTTCCTCCCAATGATCTCTTTAAAAGGATTTTGAAATTTAAATCTGGTGGAAAGATTAGATGTAAAAATTTATAATAGAATAAAATTATATGTGACTCATGAATACAAAAGATCAGTTTTGCAAATGAAGAATGAGGTATTGAAATATTTTCAGAACGCTATTTCATTAAACGTGTTGAATGCTAATTTGAGATATCTTGGTCAGTTAGCGCAGATGATTCCTATTTTTCTAGCAAATAAACAATTAAGTAATAATTAGTATTTGTAATGATAAATTGAGCACATATTTTATTAAAACGCTGTTAGGTTGCATAGCTACTAATTTTCTATATTAGATCAGCATCCACTAGACCTCTTTATAGGGTTGTATTGTCTGTAACCTGACCGGCGTGGAGCCCATCTGCCTCAGGCCAGTGTGTAGTGTGTGTGTTCTTGACTTTGTACAGGAAAGATTTCGCAAGACGAGTCCAGATGATTTTGAGAGTACATTTATTAAAGCTGAGGCCAGTGAAACAACGGAAGGACTTAGGGTAAGAGAAGCAACAGGAGAGAACCTAGGCAGGGCTGCTTTGGCTCCCTAGAAATGTTACAGGAACAAAGTGAATCAAGGCAGGGCTACTGTTAGCTCACTGGGAAGTAAAAGTCACAGTGCAGAAGTGAGCCAAGGCAGGGCTGCCTGTAGCTCACTGGAAAAGTCAGAGAAAAAGGGAGCCTTTGAAACAGGTTTGGGGGAAAGCCCAGGACGAGCTGCTGCTGTGTGCTGCTCTCTGGTTGCAAGTCTCATGGAGACTCTTAGAGTGTAGCAGAAAAAAAATTAAAAGTTCATTCTGTGCTCTAGAGCAAGCCTGCACTGGGTCTTTGTCTTGAGGGTTTTTAATCTTTCTTCTGTGGGTGAGAATCTTAGGGGAGGGTTTCAGTAGAATATTCATCAGCTTTCCAGGTGCATTTTTAATATGCTGATGCATCAAAATGATGTAGGGGAGTTTGGGGTTATTCTTTGGTTGGCTTTACTGTTTTACTTTTTCTTGGGTCTGTCTGGCTCTAATTGGGTTTTTGTTGTTATTTATTCTCCTGACTTCATCCATACTTGGGTTTGGCTGGAACAAATGGCATTAATTGGGTCTCTGTCCTCTATCTCCCCCACCAGGGTCATTTAAGCTATGTATTCTCTGGTTAGGGAGGAGAGGTATAAACCATTTGCTCTCGAGTGTCCTTGGTTAGGGAAGATAAGGTCTTGCGAGTCACTAGCTAGTTGTAACTTGTTCAGATTCTTTGGCCTTGTTTATTTTGTCTCAGTTTCCCCATTCCACTTGCCCAGGAATTTTCCTAGCTTCTACTATCCTGCCTCAGTATTACACCATATTATATTTACAGGGTTGTAATTTTCCCCAAGGCTAGAACTACTAAGTCATTTACTAGCCTAGTGTACCCTTTTTAAAGTAGACCAGGATAGTCCCTCTATTTGCTAGGCAGACTTGTTTGGACAATTGAATTTGACTAAAATTTTAAATACTTTAAAAATCATTTTTCATGGGAGTAGCATAAAATTTGTTAGGGTCCCTCTTATTTCCCTGTCATTTCATTGATAATGATTTTCAATTTTCATTTGCCATATGGTTTGTGTGTTGTATAGGTAGATAAATGTTATACATTTACCAGATGGCTTGATGACCCTTTTCCATTTAGGACAGGAAGTCTAAGAAAGCTTGATTGTCTTGTGTCTTGGTTTCTTCAACGGGAGCAAGAGGAGAGAGAGAGTCAGGCCTCTTGTACAGACTCTTTAGGAAAAAACAACCTGCCTTCAGTTCTTAGAATTCAAAAATAAAAATAATGAGAGAAAACTGATATGGCGATGAGCTGGGGAATTTAAACTCAGAGAAAGATCCAGTGTGTAAAAGGTTACTGCTTTATGAATTACAGTTGTGTTGCTTAGGGCAGTGTGGTTCTCCTTACCAGCACCAGAATTTTGGGGATAGGGTCCAGAAATCTGGTTTTAACAAACCCTTCAGATGATTCTGGTGATTCTGATGCCACCAACTAAAGTTTGAGAACCACTTGGCTTGGGGCAATTATGTAAACTTATTTATTTATTTATTTTTTAATCTTCACTGAAGGATATTTTTTCCATTGCTTTTTCTGAGAGAGAGAGAGAGAGAGAGAGAGAGAGACATTGATTGGTTGCCTCCGGGGATGGAGCCTGCAACTGAGGTGCTGCCCTTGGCCTAGATAGAACCTGGGACCCTTCAGTCCTCTGGCGGAGGCTCTAACCACTGATCAAACAGGCTAGGGCCAATTATGAAAATTTAAATTGAGGACCTTGAAGTGATACATTTTTCCAAAGCGCTTCAGAGCCAGTCCTTATATGGAGAATTTAAGGTAATATCTAAGATGCAAGTGAATGTGTTTTAAAAATGTTAAGTGTTAGACTTCGGTCTAGTCACTAGTTACAGAGGACAACTGTTGTGTGGAGCATACCTAGTCTGTTTCCCCGCCTGGATAACAATCCAGTCTTTCAAACTCAAGTTGCTAATATAAAAATTCTTTCAGTTCAAATGAATGCCAACAGGCAATCAGTTGAGTCCTTCCTGTAGACAT